TACCAGTAGCAGTCTGATTGTATGTCTGTCTTGATTTTACTCTGAGTGTTTAGCATCTGTCGGCCAGATCCCTTGGTCACTCCCTGCTGCTTCATTCTGTCCAGACTGTGATGATCTGTTTGTGCCTCCACTGTGTTTATTCATTCCTGAAGGGTCTCAAAGATATCTATCTTGGAACACACAAATTTACTACCAGGTGAAACAGAATCAGCCAATCATTCTCTAACACATAACTGCCCTGAAAAAATATACATAGGTCACTAAAGTTTAGGGGCATCTAAGTGATGCTTGCCAATCTTCACGGAGCATAGCTGTCTCCACCTTTCTCATTATATTTTGTGAGTCTGTTTTAGTCACAACATGTGTGTTTGCAGCTGGTTCTCAAGTTCAAGCCAAAAGAAGACTGCAGTGACTGCCTCCACCTCCATTCTCAAGCTAGATGTGGCATCATATAAAGGTTTTCTTGCATTAAGGGTTGGCCAGTTGCTTTTTCTATGAATTTCCATTTCCTTCTTTAATCTTCTGACTCTCAACATACGGCCATCTGTACAGATAACCACATTGCCTGGTCTCAACATACGGCCATCTGTACAGATAACCACATTGCCTGGTCTCAACATACGGCCATCTGTACAGATAACCACATTGCCTGGTCTCAACATACGGCCATCTGTACAGATAACCACATTGCCTGGTCTCAACATACGGCCATCTGTACAGATAACCACATTGCCTGGTCTCAACATGCGGCCATCTGTACAGATAACCACATTGCCTGGTCTCAACATACGGCCATCTGTACAGATAACCACATTGCCTGGTCTCAACATACGGCCATCTGTACAGATAACCACATTGCCTGGTCTCAACATACGGCCATCTGTACAGATAACCATATTGCCTGGTCTCAACATACGGCCATCTGTACAGATAACCACATTGCCTGGTCTCAACATGCGGCCATCTGTACAGATAACCACATTGCCTGGTCTCAACATACGGCCATCTGTACAGATAACCACATTGCCTGGTCTCAACATACGGCCATCTGTACAGATAACCACATTGCCTGGACGGGAATTGTCACGAATCATTGTTGAATTTCTGATTCTGCAATGCCTGCATAATGAAAAAGCAATCAGACAGTAGAATTTAGTCTCTGGAAATATGGAGGTACAGAAGAATAGTTTTTTTGTTGAGAAAAAAATGTGCACACAAAAATAAAATTAAATGTTTACACTAACAAAAATAAAAGTATATAAACAAAATGATTAGTTTATTTTATTTGGTACAATTGTATACATGTTTTACAACTGTGGTAATATTTGGTTAGTTTTATTGCACGGAATTACAGTTAACACAATTGTGACAAATTTGGTTTGTTCTGCTGGATAAAATGATTGTGAAAAAAACTTGTGTTTGTAAAATGTACGACTTGATGAGATAATTGTCAATATTGGGTTTACAACAAATGTTGATGTATAACAAAGAGCTGTTACAAAGGGGGTGATGTTTCCAAAACACTTTCCCCAGTCACTAACGGCAGTGTGCACTCTACATTCACAACCATACAAAATTATCTCTTCAATCATTACTCTAAAAAGTGGCTTTGACAATCACACCTGTGGAAAGTGGCTTTTTTAATCATGAGTTAAAAAAAAATTATATATATATATAATTTTTAAAGTGAGCATATTTTACCAAAACATCAGTTAGATTTACCAGGGAAGCAAAGACGACAAAGCTGGAATCGAGCAATCTAATTTCATAGTGCTTTTAACTAGTATATATGAGACTGAGGTTATGTCTCTATGGTACCACGTCAACATGATATCCTGTTTTCTATTTTGTGCTAGAAAATACAACTCTGATGAAAGAAATACTACAGCATTTTAGCACAGGATCTCAAGCTACTCACGCTAATGCCAGGGTGATCCTGCAGCAACAATTAGAATTTATTACCAGAACTTTTGACTTACCCTTTTAGCCATATCTAATCATAGAGAGCCAGAAGTGGAGGGACTGGCTAGGGAGCACTGCAGGATCTGGGTCAGAAGTGGAGGGACTGGCTGGTGAGCACTGCAGGATCTAGGTCAGAAGTGGAGTAACTTGCTGGTGAGCACTGCAGGATCTGGGTCAGCAGTGGAGTAACTTGCTGGTGAGCACTGCAGGATCTGGGCCAGAAGTGGAGGGACTGGCTGGTGAGCACTGCAGGATCTAGGTCAGAAGTGGAGGGACTGGCTGGTGAGCATTGCAGGATCTGGGCCAGAAGTGGAGGGACTGGCTGGTGAGCACTGCAGGATCTAGGTCATAAGTGGAGGGACTGGCTGGTGAGCACTGCAGGATCTGGGCCAGAAGTGGAGGGACTGGCTGGTGAGCATTGCAGGATCTGGGTCAGAAGTGGAGGGACTGGCTGGTGAGCATTGCAGGATCTGGGTCAGAAGTGGAGGGACTGGCTGGTGAGCATTGCAGGATCTAGGTCAGAAGTGGAGGGACTGGCTGGTGAGCACTGCAGGATCTGGGTCAGAAGTGGAGGCACTGGCTGGTAATCACTGCAGGATCGCAAGTTCAAAAACTTATTCATGACAATTCCCTTCCAGGTGATTTGGTTGTCAGTACAGACAGCTTTATGTTGAGAGGTAGAGGTGCATGGAGGTTCACAGTAAAAGTGAATGGATAGTGCAACAAAACCTGGCCATATTATATCATACCATCTGGTATGACAGTGGATATGGAGGCAGTCAATGCAGCGTTCCACTGGCTTGAGAACTAGCTGCACACTCATTACATGAACCAAATCACAAAGCATTTTATGAAAGGTGGAGACAGCTATAATTTGTACAGAGTGGCAAGCATCTCTTGAGAGATCCGGGTCCGTTTGGATACTTTCTCTATGGCATGCAGGTGTGATAGGAAACAAACAAAGAGACGACTGGCTGGTTCTGCCACCCTTGGTGATAGAATGATGTATGATAAGCTAGATGTTATCAATGCCCTCTGGGAGATAATGAACAGTCTGGACAACACTCAAAACTCAGGGAGATAATGAACAGACTGCACAACACTCAAAACTCAGGGAGATAATGAACAGACTGGACAACACTCAAAACTCAGGGAGATAATGAACAGACTGGACAACACTCAAAACTCAGGGAGATAATGAACAGACTGGACAACACTCAAAATTCAGGGAGATAATGAACAGACTGGACAACACTCAAAACTCAGGGAGATAATGAACAGACTGGACAACACTCAAAACTCAGGGAGATAATGAACAGACTGGACAACACTCAGAATTTAGGGAGATAATGAACAGACTGGACAACACTCAAAACTCAGGGAGATAATGAACAGACTGGACAACACTCAAAACTCAGGGAGATAATGAACAGACTGGACAACACTCAAAACTCAGGGAGATAATGAACAGACTGGACAACACTCAAAACTCAGGGAGATAATGAACAGACTGGACAACACTCAAAACTCAGGGAGATAATGAACAGACTGGACAACACTCAAAACTCAGGGAGATAATGAACAGACTGGACAACACTCAAAACTCAAAGAGATAATAAACAGACTGGACAACACTCAAAACTCAGGGAGATAATGAACAGACTGGACAACACTCAAAACTCAAAGAGATAATAAACAGACTGGACAACACTCAAAACTCAGGGAGGTAATGAACAGACTGGACAACACTCAAAACTCAGAGAAAAGGTAAGGCAGACATACATTCAGTCTGCTACTAGCTACTGAGAATGAGTGACAAAATACTTGTTGGAATGCCTCCAGTAATTATGCTGATTCTCAACACAACTCAACTTTGCAGCACCTAGAGAAAAGTAGGATATCTTACAGCCACATTTAGAGGAAAGTAGGAAGTCTGACAGCAACATCTAGAGAAAAGTAGGATATCTTACAGCCACATTTAGAGGAAAGTAGGAAGTCTGACAGCAACATCTAGAGAAAAGTAGGATATCTTACAGCCACATTTAGAGGAAAGTAGGAAGTCTGACAGCAACATCTAGAGAAAAGTAGGATATCTTACAGCCACATTTAGAGGAAAGTAGGAAGTCTGACAGCAACATCTAGAGAAAAGTAGGATATCTTACAGCCACAGTTAGAGGAAAGTAGGAAGTCTGACAGCAACATCTAGAGAAAAGTAGGATATCTTACAGCCACATTTAGAGGAAAGTAGGAAGTCTGACAGCAACATCTAGAGAAAAGTAGGATATCTTACAGCCACATTTAGAGGAAAGTAGGAAGTCTGACAGCAACATCTAGAGAAAAGTAGGATATCTTACAGCCACATTTAGAGGAAAGTAGGAAGTCTGACAGCAACATCTAGAGAAAAGTAGGATATCTTACAGCCACATTTAGAGGAAAGTAGGAAGTCTGACAGCAACATCTAGAGAAAAGTAGGACATTTGACAGCTACATCTACAGCAAGTTTGGAGATCTGATAAGTAAAGTTTGAACAGCGTAGAAAATTAGACAACTACATTTAAAACATATTTTAATCATATTTAGAATATGCCAAAATTAGTCACAACCACAAGTAGAATACGTGAGAAAATTGTACTCACATGTACTGCCATACAATTACATTAAAAACCCATCACATTTAGAAAATGACAGATACTTTCAGTCATTCTAACCACACCTAGATTATCTCAGATAATCAGACATATAGAACATGTGAGAAAAACTTGACAGTCACGCTGGCAATATGCTAGATTCCCTGAAAGCTACACACTGCTACATCTTAAGTGTGAAAAACCTGAGCATATTATCTACACATGGTCCCAATAAACGAAACAAACAATAATTATCACACAATTAGATCACAATGATACTAACACAACCAGCAATAACAACTGCTTAGGCTACTACTAAACAACACCAAGAACAGTGGAAATATTAGTTTTTCTAAAGCTTTACAGCCACCCCTGAAAATGTTCCCTTCCAAGAATGATTCTTGATGTGTGTTATTCTCGATTCTCTATGCTCACAGATTCCTGATGAATTATAGTTCCTTCTCTCAAAATACCACAATTTTCTGCCTTGCCTGCACTGACAGTGGACTGTAGGAATTTGTTTTTACTGTCTCCTTTCTCTAAGCTTTTTCCAGTAACCTCGGTAGAATGACTAATATTTCTTAAGCCTTCTGTGCTAGAAATATTTAAGGGTACAGTGTCACTTTGAGTATCTTGCCCTGCATCACCAGAATCAAGTCCAGAAACAGAGCTTCTGAGCTGACGGTCTTCTGACTTTATGCAGCCAAAATTGGCATCACTGCTGGATTCAAATGTACACAATACATCCACAAATGTTGACGCATGTGATTTATCTTGACTAAGCAAAGGTTCATGAGCTGAAGCTGATTGATGTTGATCAGTAAATGGCATGCTCCTCTGATCTTCATCTGTAACTGGCATACCTTTATTGTGTTTATCTTTCGATGTCCTGCTATTCCTAAATTCATCTTGAGATGGCATGCCTTTGTGTTGACACTTCCCATCTAAACCTGTGATGCCAAAAGAATCACTGGGCCTCTGGCAGGAATCATCACCTGTGGAATTTGTATTTTGATCATCAGGATGCTCATTGAATCCAACATCAGCAGTAGTGTGATGACTGGAGATGCTTTTCAAGCCTTGAGCAGAGAAACTTCTCTTGACAGCAGCTTTAGAGTTCATGCAGTCTTGAGTGTTGGCATTATCCTTATCCTTGGATTTGACATCATCCTTATCAATGGATTTGACATCATCCTTATCCTTAGAGTGGACATCATCCTTATCTTCAGAGCTGACATCATCCTTATCTTCAGAGCTGACATCATCCTTACCTTTACAGCTGACATCATCCTTACCTTTACAGCTGACATCATCCTTATCTTTAGAGTTGACAACATCCTTATCTTTAGAGTTGACAACATCCTTATCTTTACAGCTGACAACATTATTATCTTTATAGTTGACACCATCTTGATCCTTACAGATAACACCATTATTATCCTTGGAGTAAACATGATCCTTATCCTTATAATCTGTCAGGGATTCTAGTGAGACTGTGTGGTGGGGCCAGGCGTCCTGGTGGCACCATGAAAAGTACACAGCTCCAGCAACCAAGATGGCAGTGGTGATTGCCACCATAATCCCAGCAGCAACATAACTGCGATTTCTCACACTGAGGACAAATGACTCTCGGATTTCTGCAATCAAAACAAAAAAAACGATTGAACTGTTTTTAACTTTACAAATTACCATATTTCAGGGTTAAGAAAAACCAATACTGTCAAGTCAATTATAAGAAGGTAAAGAAAGGATCCTTTTTACACTAGTGACAAATCAGGGCATATGATGCTAGAGTCATACTTATAAAAACTTAATGCACACCTGATGGGCTGTCTTTCAGGCTAGGCTGGGGTTGATAGTCAAGGTGAATTTATAAAACTTAATGAAGATTGAAACCCAAGATGTTTGGGAAGCAGGCAAGCGTCAACCTACTATAGCTCCCAAACGCTTTAAGGACACCTTGAAGTCTTCACTCAAAGCATTTGGGATGAATGACACCAATTGGGAGGCTGCCTCTCAAGACCGAAATGCATGGCGTGCAACTCTACACAAGGGCGTGGCTACATGTGAAGCAAACAGAACAGCAAGACTTATTAAGAGAAGGGTGGACAGAAGGGTGACTGCAGGAGATCCCCTCTCTGGCACAACGCTCATTCCCTGTCCTCACTGTTAAAGAACTTTTCGGGCCCGCATCGGCCTCATCAGTCATCTTCGTACTCAATACTTGATGAAAAAAGAGTGGCCAACATCATCTTGATGGACAATACACACACACTATAGCTCCCATTCTGGAATGAGGCTACAACACAACGCACACACAAAAAGGTTTACAGTGTGTCCTTTACAGGATGTTGCAGAACCAACCCCAACATTTTTTGGCTGTTTTTATTTCACTAGGCAATTTTAGGCTCAGAGTTTGCCACTGCTTTCTGAACAGTCAGCTCTTGATAATCTTGTTGAAATCAATGCAATGTGTGGTCTGCTGTCAAATAACCCACAGCTAAAACTGAACCGTGTGCCTGCTAATTAGGAAGTCTCTTGGCAATGCCTAAACTATAAATATTAATTAAAAACAAAGCACACTTGAAAAATGGATATAAACATATCCAGAGAATCAGTGCTCCCATAGCAGCCTGCCTGGAAGACTCACTTCTCCACCAGCTGCCTTCATTTCTATGCCCAAGGTGTCTGTTATGTCCTGTGTCATCTGCACACAGGACATAACAGATGCTTTCTTAGCATTCTCTGGATATTTCTGCAAGAAGTGGTGGTGTGTTGGGAAACAAACAGGCAGACACACTGGCTGGTTCTGTATCACTCTGATACGCAAGAGTGTGGGTGTATGAATGTGTCTGTATGATCATGAACACATGTATGTATTTGTATGTATAAGTGTGTGTGTGTGTCTGTGCGTGTGGGTTTGGGGTGGATGTATGAATGCATGTGTGTTTGTGGGCACGCATGTATGTATGTGTAGGCGTGCGCACATGCATAATTAGATTATAATGGTCTGCAGAGAACTGTGCAATGGGAGACTCAGACAATTGTAGATACACATACTGACCAACACGGCTAGAAAGACCAGAAGAAGATGCTTCAGCTTCAATTTACCTCGTGGAAAAGCCCTGATTTCTTCAATGACCTTGGAATGAGCCACTGTGTCAATGACATGATCAATCTCTTCCATCATCTTGCTACTGGAGGCAGAGACCTGGTCCATCAACGAATCCAGGCTCTTCATCATGTGTTGCCTAGATAGTCCAACCTGTTGACCGATATAACAAATATATATAAACAGACTCAACAAAAGAAAACAATTAGTATAAATATTATAATACTTATTGTAGAAAGTTGACTACAATAGCTTGATGGCTAGACACCTGCACCAAGACATATTTATTTCAAAATTCACCTTGGCTCCAAAGCTTATCCAGTCTAAAATGAGTACCAGGTAATGTCCTGAGAAGTAAAGGCAGCCATCATGATGCTGACCACATTACACACAAAGTGGGTAGAAACATAGGAGTAGTCGGTTCTCTTTCAAGAAACTAAGCTGCCACTATGCACCATAAAGTCTCTATTATAATACTGCTGAAATGTTGATGCTTAAAAATCTGCCAGTACTGCATACTTTTGCGCAGTACCAGACAAAATAGCCCTGGGTTGCCTGCTACCAAAAAAGTGTGAAAAGGGGCATTTTAAATTGAGAGACTCTATGAAATGAGAACAAGCTACTTTGGACTTCTACAGTTACACACTCCTTGCAGGGCTGTCTCACTGCATGGACCCACTGTGCATTTAAAGTGACTTGCCATAAATAAGATATATTTAACGTTTAAATTAATTCCATTTAATATAAAACCAAAATTATACTTTCATCTCTCCCCCCCCCCCCCCCCCCCAACTTCTCATAATATATATATCAAACAACCAAGATCAGTCACAGGATAATGCCTCAATATGCCTAGATGATATACTGGATTGCAAGTGCGGATTTTGCAACCCAGGGAGTTTGCCATCTGTTTCCTGTGCTGGACACAGCCTGAACTTGGTGGAAGTAAAGGCAGCAGAGGGTTGTTTAGTCTCTAACATTCTTTGACTTGATTTAGTATCTGTATTCATTTGTTGCTGGCTCTTGTCATCGATGGAATGCCCTGAGATCCTCTTTAGGAAAAGATTTGTGGTCCATCTGACATATGATGGTCAGCTCAGTTTGATTCTATGCTTTCTCTCTGCATGAGGGTTTTGAGGAATTAAACCATGCACTGGATTATTCACTAGATTATTTATCAGCTGACAATGAATGACTAGTCAATACAAGCAGAGAGGCAGAAGGATTTAACGCAAAATGGGATATCTGGAAACAGTCTTTCTCCCAATTCTTTAGAATGAGATGCTAGAAAGAATGAATGAAACAAGCAAGGTCATTTGTTACCACAAATCTTCTTGAGTGTTTGAAAATCAATCTCCAGGAAACAAATTTGGTAAACATGATTTTAGAGCTGGGAGTATGTGTCCACATTACAGATTAATGTGATGGAAAAAACATAGGAATAACACCCAGTTTGTGTATTAGTAGATATGATGAATCAACAGAACTGCCAGAAGAGGTCCTTTCCAGTGATAGGAAACGTTGCTTCCTGTTCTAGACATTAAAATCTTTAAACTGACAATGCATGCAGTGGCATATTCACTCACTGGAAATCTGTCTTCTGTGAACTGAAAATCACAGCTTTTGATGAACTAAAGAAAAGTGTGATTCAAAGTGTGGTTAATATGCCCTGCGAAGGCCAGAATTATGACGACACTAAATGAATGTATCTCAAGCATTACATGGCTCCTAATGAAAACTGTGACACTTTCTCTGCACTGTAGAGACAAATAATTTTGAAGAATTTGAAATCTGTTTTCCTGAATGTTAAAAATTGCACTCAGAGTGTTCATTTGCATGATGGTAACCAACCTTACAGAAAACATTGTTTTTCAAGCTGAAACATATAACAAGATTTGCTTCGTAGCACAATAGACAGCATCATCTGAAATGTCATTTCACTCGTGTATGGAAAATGACATTCTGAAGACCACTGAGTTCAAACCAATAATAAAGCTACTGGTTTGCCCAGGGGCCCAGAAGTTGGTCCTGGCTCATTGGTCTTCTACAGGCAGAAAAGCTGCTCAAAGATGTTATCATCATAATCCACTTTTGTCTTTTAAATTGTATCCATGCTGGGCTGCAGACTATGGGATTAACATCTCATGGATGATAATTTATTTGCAGCAAACCCTAGACAGCCTATTCAACCATATAAGACAATTAATATACAGAGGTAGACTACAGTGATAACATCACCTGCAGGCCAGTTTAGATGGACACAAGAATTGACTAGCATCAAATATGCCAACATCCACTGACAGTTAACTCATTCTTCTTCTTTTTTTTATTTTTCTACTTCCTTTTCTTCTTTTCTCCTCCTTTTCCATTTTCTTTTTTTACCCCTGGCTTAGCCCTGTAAAAGTGGTTGGCACCTTCCATTTTAGTTTATAGCCAGTTTGATAACTACCCCTTTCAGCCCAAACATTCCAATTTTAACAAAGCTTCAATTAGTTACTTTTTCTGACAAGCTAGTTAAGTGACAGTGGATCTATTCTTGTTGTTTCCCCCTTACTGGGGTTCCAAAAAAAACCAAAACACATGGGAAAAGAGGACTGGGGTGGGGGGGGGGGGGGGGGGGGGGTGGGGGGGGGGGGGGGGGGGGGGGAGGGGGGGGGGGGGGGGTGTTAAGATTGAAGATCACAACCATCCCAACTCTGCTGCAATAAAAACAACATTCAAAAATACTGTTGTATAAACATAACAGGCTTAATAAATCAAATATGATTGTTATGTGAAAGATGAGTCTTTGGAAGGGCCAATGTAAGACTGGCCTTTGATTGTTATGTGAAAGATGAGTCTCTGGAAGGGTCAATGTAAGACTGGCCTTTGATTGTTATGTGAAAGATGAGTCTCTGGAAGGGTCAATGTAAGACTGGCCTTTGATTGTTATGTGAAAGATGAGTCTTTGGAAGGGCCAATGTAAGACTGGCCTTTGATTGTTATGTGAAAGATGAGTCTTTGGAAGGGCCAATGTAAGACTGGCCTTTGATTGTTATGTGAAAGATGAGTCTTTGGAAGGGACAATGTAAGACTGGCCTTTGATTGTTATGTGAAAGATGAGTCTCTGGAAGGGTCAGTGTAAGACTGGCCTTTGACTGTTATGTGAAAGATGAGTCTTTGGAAGCGTCAGTGTAAGACTGGCCTTTGATTGTTATGTGAAAGATGAGTCTTTGGAAGGGTCAGTGTAAGACTGGCCTTTGACTGTTATGTGAAAGATGAGTCTTTGGAAGGGACAATGTAAGACTGGCCTTTGATTGTTATGTGAAAGATGAGTCTCTGGAAGGGTCAGTGTAAGACTGGCCTTTGATTGTTATGTGAAAGATGAGTCTCTGGAAGGGTCAGTGTAAGACTGGCCTTTGACTGTTATGTGAAAGATGAGTCTCTGGAAGGGTCAGTGTAAGACTGGCCTTTGACTGTTATGTGAAAGATGAGTCTTTGGAAGGGTCAGTGTAAGACTGGCCTTTGATTGTTATGTGAAAGATGAGTCTTTGGAAGGGTCAATGTAAGACTGGCCTTTGACTGTTATATAAAAGATGAGTCTTTGGAAGGGTCAGTGTAAGACTGGCCTTTGACTGTTATGTGAAAGATGAGTCTTTGGAAGGGACAATGTAAGACTGGCCTTTGATTGTTATGTGAAAGATGAGTCTTTGGAAGGGTCAGTGTAAGACTGGCCTTTTACTGTTATGTGAAAGATGAGTCTTTGGAAGGGCCAATGTAAGACTGGCCTTTGATTGTTATGTGAAAGATGAGTCTTTGGAAGGGCCAATGTAAGACTGGCCTGTGTGCTCAATTTGTGACTTTCTGAAAATAAAGTTTGCCTGTTTAATGTTTACAAACCTGGTCCATTACCACTCCCAGCTTCTCAAACACCTTGACTCCAGACTTCTCAACCTGCCCCAGCATGTCCTCCAGACCCTGCATGCTTCGCTGGATAATGTTACCAGAAAACTCTGCGTCCTTCACTTGGTCTGAAATCTGCTCCAGGTTTTCAACCCCATGCCCTTCAGGGGCAGGATTCTTTCCCAAATACTCGGCTTTCTCCTCCTGGCACCTCAATGGTTGCTCTGCTTCGCACTGCTCGTAAGAGGAGGATGTCATTTTCTCTTCAGCATCCAGTTTTGACAGCCCACGATCTTCCCCACAAATGTCACTGGCCTCCTCTTCATCAGCTATCCTATTGGCACAGCTGTCAACTTGATGCCCCTGCTTCTCAGCGGTAACCTGCATCTGGACTTTACCATTCTTCAAAATATCTTCACTTTTATAACTTTCTGTGGCAGCCTAAACAAATTAAAACAAATGTTTATTTTTGAAATTTATGAAGAATAAATAATCAACAAAATCCTAACTATAATTTAAAAAACATTAAACTGCTTAAGCTCATCACATTAAGAATCAGATACTCATAAAATGAAAACATATTCACTTTTTGTAACTTTCCTTGGCAGTCTAAAGTAAGGGGAAAAAAGCTCATTTGTGAAAAAAGTTTTCAAAAATTCCTTTAAAATTCTATATTGAAATTTCCCCCCCCCCCCCCCCCTTTTAACATTGCATAAACTCCTTCCTGTTTTTTTCCCCATACTGGCTGGTACCAGAAGGTTTGACAAGCCTATGATTTAAGAAACCTTTATCTCAATAGCAAGCCAACCGGGCACATCCTAAATACCCTATTTAACCTCCAAAGAAGTTATAATTGGGCATATGTAGTCCGACTTTGAATGATGGCCTCAATCAGTCAACTCCTATGACATGACTATTGGGGAGGCAGTGTGTCTATTCTTGTTCTCCCCACATTGGGGCCCTGGAACAAACATGAGGAGATTAGGCTGTATGAGGTATAAGGTCTGAAGAAATTTAAATACTTGATTGAATCATAGGAATGGAAACATGGAGAACAACTAAAATTATTACTAATAAACTGCAAACATTTATTAACCTGCTGTGCTTGGGCAGAACAGAATAATGTGCAGCTTCTGGAGAGAACTAAACAAATTCCAGTGAATCAACAGCTGAATAAAAGATGCTGGCTTTGGATAGGACATATATATGTTAAGAAAACCTGATAGCAATATAACTAGAATGTCACTGCACAGAAACCCACAGAAGCATTGAAATAAACGTAGATTTTAAATTTTAAAAAAAGCATACAGAGAAGGGAACTAGAGAGTAAAGTTAAAAAGACAGGGAGGACATATAGTGAGCTGCATGCACTAGCAGAGGAAATGATCAGTTGGCTGAGTTGGTTGACGGTTTATGCTCCAATGAACAATAAACAGTAGAAAATAAGAAGGACTGAAATCTAACTCATGGCAGTCCAACAGGTGAAACGGTTTGGGCATCTGACAAGAATGCCCTGGTACCAACATCCACAAGGTGTCATTGTGAAGAAATATAATAAACACAGAGCAAGAAGAAGAGCATACTTGAATATGGAACAATAGCACCAAGAACAATCTCACAGAAATGAAGACCAAGTTAAACAACACATCAAAAAGAGCACACACCGTAAGTATGGTTCCATGGCTCCTTTTGAGTAAACAGGGAATAAACCCATTGCTTCCCTAACAAAGGTCATTAAAAAGTGACTAATTATGGGTGTTTTCTTTGACGTCGGAGTGCAGCTGACTGACAGGTGAGGAACCAACAGTCTGCATATAAATAAGCCAGACAGTAAAAGGGATGTGCATGCAAAGTTCAAGTTCTAGAACAAGATCAGAACTTTCTGCTTGGGTTTACAGCTGGTAGCGCTCGGAGGAAACAAGAAACACTTGCACACAGGCAAGCCTCTCACAGCTTCTTAGCACTTCGATCAGCCCACTGGATTGTTTAATCTTGAATTAAGAATCGACATCACAGCACTCAGGACACTCCCATAAGTGCTGCATCCCTATCTTCAGCAGCAAGTGAAGAGTTAGAATTCTGATCGTACCAGTAACTGTCTGATTGTACAACCGTCTCGGTTTTCCCTTGAGTGTTGAGCAGTGGTAGCTCCTCACAGCACCATGCTGGGATCTCTGAAGTGATGCTTGCCACTCTGCACAGAGCATGTCTGTTTCCACCCTTCTCAACAAACTCTATGAGTCAGGTAAAATTATGACATGTATGTACAGATGATTCTCAATCCAGCAGAAGGCAGCAGAGACTGCCTCCACCTCCATTCTCAAATTAGACGTTGTGATATCAAATGCCAGGCTTTGCTGCGCTAAGCGACATCCATTCGTTTTTGCTATGAACCCCCATGCAATATACATCTTAACACAGAGCCATCTGTATAGATAATCACCTGGGCGGGAATTGTCATGAATCATATGTTGAGGCCAATCAAGTGAGAAAAGAAAACAATAAGGTAACTGGCTACACTGCAACTTCACCCAGAGCTTTTTTTCACAAAGTGTCTAATAAAATGATGCCAGGACTCACCATGAAGTGTTCATTACAGTAGAACTGAAAACAATGATGCTAAAAAATGTGATGTTACCGTTATTGAACCTTTCTGTTATTTCCCTTCTGTTATTTTTCTTTCATTTTCCACCTCCGGGTTAATATCTGAAGGTCTTAATCACCTTGAGATTATAAAATCAGTACCTTGAGGGCGAACCTACAGGGGAAATCTGAAGTTCAACCTCCAAAGATGTTACATAATAAATGTACAGGTCTGGTCTAATGAGGGAGAGGGTTTTTGATCTTTCATAACGTAGTAAGTATCAGTGTGAGTTCATTTCTTCCTCTCAGTGTTTGTAAACTGGCAGACAGTTCTGGTTATAACGTCTATTCCTGGACTTTAGTCTTGAGTCACAACTTAAATTTTGCATGCAAATTCACTTTACTTTACAAGTCCGGCTTATTTGAATGAAGACTGCTGATAATTGCTTGTCTCTCAGGCAGCCTTAATAATTTAATTCAAAGAGAGAGAGAGAGAGAGAGAGAGAGAGAGAGAGAGAGAGAGAGAGAGAGAGAGAGAGAGAGAGAGAGAGAGAGAGAGAGAGAGAGAGCAACACGCAAAGGCAATGACGAAAAATTAACAATTAATATTATATTATTTTTGATAATATTATCGAAATGTGAAGACGTTAAAATAAACCCCTTCACTCTTTCAGTCCTTCACTTCACCTGGTGAGCTTCACCGAAAGTATTGTCGTGCAGAGCATGAACAGCTAGACACAGCAACGACACAGTCATCAGCAAATCAAAACATAGATGTTGAACGGCCATCTCAGTGCGGTTTTAAAACGTGTTTTCTAGATCACATCACGCAGACATAACAGCCGATCCACACATGTCGATTATTAGTGTGGACTGACAAAGAAAGCCTGGAGATCAACAGAGAAAGTCCAGTTGGTAGTTCCTCCGCTGTCTCCAGTATTTACTTTGCTGTTTCGGTTAAACCTTCCTAGTGATGTCCCTTTGTGTCAGGGAAAGTAATCCGTTCACCAAGCAGGATTGGAATTATCTTCCATTTCCCATCTCTTTGGGTTAAATCTACTACTACTACTACTACTACTACTACTACTACTACTACTACTACTACTACTACTACTACTACTACTACTACTACTACTACTACTGCTGCTGCTGCTGCTGCTGCTGCTGCTGCTGCTACTAATAGAACTACTTTTGTGTTAGCCCTTCAAAAGACGGTTGCATGTTCTGTTGCGATTTACAGCTACGCTGCTATACCTACCAATGTGAACACAACAGATCCGATTTCATTATAGCCTCACCTTGTAATCCCTTTATGCGATGCAATTTTTCGTTATTTGAAGCCCTACTCTGGCTCTTGCCAGGGTCCACAATATAGCCCGGCCGTAAATATGGTCTAATGGCTGAACGCGGTTTCTGAGACCTCTCTTAATATCGTATACGCGAATACGAACAACAGTCTTCACTGCTTGTAGCTAAGACATTTTATCGCAGTGCAAGTCGTGATGGTGATGGTGGCGGGAGACGGTGCCTTCGAGCCTGTGGCTAGTAAGTAAGTAAGTAAATATACCCCATCAGGACATCACACAGAGCGATAAACACCCGATGACACCAAGTACCACCATGCGGATGAGGATCACCTGTGGAGAGGTCCCAGAAACCCATTTAAGCCATTAAGCCATATTAACGGCCCGGCTATATTCAGGGTCCCCGACTAAAGCCATGGTCGGGGCTTCATATAACGAATAATTGCATCCCCCAAGGGGACGCCTGTATGGACGAACCCATGACTAAAACAATTGCCCCGACTAAATACACAACATTCATCACCGTACCGAAGATTCGAATCCTTGCAGCGTTATTGTTCTGGTGGGATTTTAAAAAATGTATATGCTTCAGCTAAAAAAATAAAAATAAACGCTCAGATCCGTGACCATTGACACTTTTTGAGGTACCCCTCCCTTTAGATGCTCTAAGCACGTACTTATTGTTCTTAATGGTTAATCTGGCCCTGGATGCATTCCCGCACTGCCGACTGATAGGCTCAAATTACTGCGAGCTAGGTCATACCTGAAGGTGGCCACCGATAACAACCACCTTGTACAGCAGTGAAGTTCGGCTGGCGAAACGTGGCCTGAAGAGGCCCAAAAGTGGCATGAGGAGGCCCAAAAGTGGCATAAGGATCATTTCCAGTTTTATCATACCAACGATCGTTCTATGCTGCGTCTCCAGTCTCTGGCCTTTTCAAATTTGTGGCCCCTGAGTGAGCTTAGTTGAATAGCCCTGTTCTACATGAAGCACTGGATTCAGTTAAGGGTCATAGGCTGTTCAGAGGGAATTCTTGAGTGGTGTAGGCAAAAGACACGCTTATAGATGTGTGTATGCAGGAGAGGTGGGGGACTGGAAGAAGAGTAAATGAAAGTGTCCGAGCAACAGACTTGTGTAGGGCTCTGATCACACTTTGCTTGAAGTGCAGGAACTGGCCAGCAAGAACCACAGATTCAGAAATCCCACAACTGATTCATGATAATGTCGCCTAGATGATGTGAATATCTACAGAGAATGCTTTTTGTTAAGAGGCAGAAGAAAAGCGAAGGAGCTCAATGCGAAAATGAATGGACTGACTGACTGACTGACTGACTTTCTACCCCACCAGGACATCACACAAGCGATAAACATCCTATGACACATTGGGCCACCATGTAGATGAGGATCACCGTGGAGAGGTCCCAGAAACCGCGTTCAGCCAAATGGTCATATTTAAGGCCTGGCTATATTTATTTAGAAATTCCTGTCAACCGGTTTACTCCTTGTTCATGAATACAGGGAACTTCTTTCCTGGTGACGCTGGTTTGATTTTGAAAAAGGCATTCTTTCGCCTGATCCCAAAGTGTCAAGACGTGTATCCATTCTTTGTAGAATTTCATAGTTCCAGTTCTAACTTGGAAGATTTCCTAAGCTTGGGTAAGTTGATTATAGTTTACGAGTACCATAAATGATGTCTTTTTAAAGTTGGCCACTGCTGCAGAGAGGGCAGAGTCAGCTGTGTGTTTGCACAGAGTTCGACCGTTCTTGATGTCCAGAGATCAGGACCCGAACCTTAGACCTTCCCCTGTACAGACTAATTAGTTAGTAATCTACATAACCCACACCATTTGTAAAGATATTAAACCCTACAGTAATTATTCTCTGACCAGTCAAACTAAGTTTTGTGTCGCACAACTGGAATGGGGAATTTAGGTCATCGTTAACCGGCATTCAGGGCTAAGCGCTCTGCGTCGAGTGTGTTTGACACAGATTCAGTGGGTGTGTATCAAAGGGCCGGTGGAGACGGGATATATATATATATATATATATATATATATATATATATATATATATATATATATAGGTACTAACTGCAAACATGGTATGTCTGTGAGTGCAGATGTGAGGATGGAGAGAGGATGATCTATGTGTGGTAGTGTCTATCTATCTCTACTATATATCTGGTTTTCTATCCGTTGCACTAGTTTACAGACAGATAAATGAAGGGAGACATTGTCTCCTGGTCTTGAGAGAACACTCAGAGGAATGGAGAAGATGAGCAGAGGTGGGGTGAGCTGATGTGTGATTAAAGCAGATTACTAATTCTTGGTTCTTTCCTGACAGGATGATACCTCCTTCGTGATTACTAATTCTGAATTCTTTCCTGACAGGATGAGACCTCTGTAGAGATCAGGCAGACGAATCACAGTCCAGCCAACAACCACCAACCCATACCATTCTATACACCAAGGATAACCAGAAGTCCTGCCTTTTTTGCCACTACCTCAACATGGCAAGAGCGTGTTTGTGAGCTCCGGGACGAGTAGACATTTGCAGACATCTGTGTCATCAATCTAGAGAACTAGTCTTCAAGAGCTTGGTTGGGCTCTGGGGCAGTTTTGTGACCTGACCTGTGAGAGAGACTTGTTGAGTCCCTATGCAGTTCCCGTGTCCTCAATGGTGAGGTAGTCACTGGTACTAGATTAACTAGAGGCGTAGATACCTGAGTCAACTACAGTCGAATCACCATGGACTGACGGAAGCATTGACCTACGAACTAGGCTAAGTGATCACTTATTCATTATCATGCTCTCTTCCCACAGCTCCTTGAGATTCCTAGGATGAACTCATGTACTTTCCTGACCTAAGATCTGGCTGCTTCAATGTCTGGGGGGTGTCACTGACTCCGGGGCTGCAGTCAATGAACATTCTTGAGAATCTATTCACTAATACATGTTCATATTGTACTTATTACGTACATTCATTTTCATGGCTGACTTAGGTGTCCCTGTTTCACCATTCTAACTGTTTAGCATTGATATGTGTGTGAGTAATAAGTGTTATATTTGTTATTATGGTTATGATAGTATACTATCATAACCTGGGGGCTATCTTTTTATATTAGTGGGGGTGTCCAGGGAAGTGTGCCTAGGAATATTATATATTTTGTAGTGCCAAGACTTGAGTTGCCCTACTCCTGAAATAAGCTGAGCGTATATTGAAACAGGATTGTGAACTTTAGATCAAAACAATTTTTTTATCGCTAATTTCCCCCTCCCCTCCACTCACCTCTCCCAAAAAGGTTCCTGAAGTGTACTTTGAAACAGGCACGCGAACTATACATTCAAACAGGTTCATGAACTAGACACCAAAATAACAGTGTGATTTATATACCTAATCAGGTTCATGAACTAGACACCAAAATAACAGTGTGATTTATATACCTAATCAGGTTCATGAACTAGACACCAAAATAACAGTGTGATTTATATACCCAATCAGGTTCATGAACTAGACACCAAAATAACAGTGTGATTTATATACCTTATCAGGTTCATGAACTAGACACCAAAATAACAGTGTGATTTATATACCTAATCAGGTTCATGAACTAGACACCAAAATAACAGTGTGATTTATATACCTAATCAGGTTCATGAACTAGACACCAAAATAACAGTGTGATTTATATACCCAATCAGGTTCATGAACTAGACACCAAAATAACAGTGTGATTTATACACCCAATCAGGTTCATGAACTAGACACCAAAATAACAGTGTGATTTATATACCCAATCAGGCTCGTGAACCTGATATCCAGATGGGAACATGGGCTACGCATCGAAACAGGTTCGGGAACTTTATATCCAGATAGAAACATGGACTTCACATCCAAACAGATTCGGGAACTTTATATCCAGATAGAAACATGGACTTCACATCCAAACAGATTCGGGAACTTTATATCCAGATAGGAACATGGACTAAACATCCAAACAGGTTCGTGAACTTTATATCCAGATAGGAACATGGACTACACATCCAAACAGGCTCGTAAACTTTATATCCAGATAGAAACATGGACTACACACCCAAACAGGCTCACAAACTATATCCAGATAGGAACATGGACTACACATCCATACATGCTGGTGAACTTTATATCCAGATAGAAACATGAACTACACATCGAAACAGGCTCATAAACTGTATATCCGGATAGGAACATGGACTACACATCCAAACAAGCTGGTGAACATAACATCAAAATAGTTCATAAACTATACATACAACTTGGTACATGGACTACCAAAAAAAAAAAATCATGCGTTATACATTCAAACAGGCTCTTGGACTATGCATCCATATAGATCCATGGACAGTCTATGGTTAAGGTACACTTTGCTACAATATCCTCAATCGTATACTGGCTGCAATGTTCCCAATCGTACACTCAATCCATTTTCTCTGGGGCCCTCGTATCAGTCGTTACCCAGTCGTTTTCAGTAGCTGCTGTGCTGGTAAATGGTGCTGCTAGATTGTACCCCGTTTTAAGATTGGTGATTGTGCGAATATTATCTAACCAAAGATAACTGACAATCATAAATATCGAATATTTAAATACAGGGGAAAACGTATGATATCGTTTTTTGAATTACTCTAGAGGTCTGAGATGTCTACGCCTAACGGCATAGCACACGATGGTGATTACCCCGTGTAGTCAACAGGGCAGAATCTATAAACAGACAGTAAACTCATGTTACAGCTTGATCCTGTCGTTAATGGTTTCTTCCTATGGAGATCGGTGTGTGTCTTGTCAAAAGCTTGTGATTTCTCCCTACTTTTATGTGTTTCAGTCGTACGCTTTACTTTATTATTGACAATCTGTAGCTTTCCCTTTTTTTTCCCCAACATATATCTATGAAACCTTAGCCCTATTAATTGTCTGTGGAAAGAAGGTAAAGCCTAGCATTGAGTTTCTTAATGCCTATTTATTTTATCCACTGAAAACTACGTGCCGTGAAGCTGTTTAGAATCTTGAGCATTTTTTAAGATAATAGAACTATTGACCAAAATATGGTAGCGTTAGTTTGCACCTGCGCTAATTACCTTCCCTCGATATTGTAATTATATCGTTCGACCATGTGAACGCGTTTCAAAAACCAAAGTGCAAGATGAAAGATTAGAAAACATTTAAGCATTTCTTTTTAAGTGGATAGCTTTGAAGTTCCTTTTTGTGATTGTTTGTGGTGTATTTATCAAGCGTGTGCAACGAATAATGCAACTAAATAAATTGTTCACACAAAAAGGTTTAGTTAGGTATGCTCATCAATCGAATGGAGGAGGATATTATAGTTCATTCAAAAACTGATTCACACACATGCACGCCATTTTCTTGAAAACTGCCTGTTATATCGCAATGATTGTTTGCATGCAGCCTAAGAATGTCCATGATATTAAGGAAATATTTTTCTCACTAAAGAAGAATATCATGTGAAGTTTTCTCTTCTTTACGATATATATTTTTATCATGTAACCGTCTTAGTAGACTTTTGGAAGGTTTACTTTCATTAGTTTTAGCAAATAATGACCACTACGACTGGTTTAACAGGGGACAAAGGAAACCTACTATATAATTTTATGATTTTCTCGTGCAACGTCGCACTGTTAGAGCCCGGAAGCCAAAAAAAAAAAAAAATGACATCGGTCAAAGTTGTTTAGCCACAAATTAGTGTTAAGTTATTGTGTCATATAGCTAGCTCATAAAAGCTGAAATAGACATCAATTTCAAAATGAAATTGAGATGCAAATTTAAAACTATGCAGAAGGTTACGGTTTTTTTTAATGTACTAGCTTTTCCTCGTGGAATCTAAGATAGGTCATCTATATTGTGATATTTATGACCCAGAGAAACGAACACGATTGGCTCTTGTCTGGATAGAGCATTATTTAACTGTTGGATTAGACAGGACACAAAGTACGCTCATGTCAGGCAAGGAAGGAGAAGGAAAGTTGACGACTTTGATGTAGATGTCATTAGACGTGATATCTTAAAATTGTTAGAGACAAATCAACTTGTTACCCTCCGAAAACTGAAATTAACATGGCAATCGCAATGCATCACTGACATTTTAAAAAGTAGTCTGTGGAAAACTGTAGGAGACGACGGGTTCACTTTCAGGAAAACTATAGGTGGAAGAAATATTATTTGTGAAAAGCCACGTTTGATTGCTAGTCGGAGCAAATAAATGAGGCAGATCTGTGAGCGAGGGAGGCAAGGCTATGATACTGTTTTTCTGGATGAATCCTGGGTTAATGCTCACTATACCTACGCTAAAGAATGGCAATCGATAAACAGTGAACAGAAAAGAAATATTTCAAACACCAAAGGCCAACGCATTATACTAACTTATGCAGAAAGCAGTGAACAAGGCTTTATCAAGGTTGCTGGACTTATTTTCGAATCAAAATTACGAATGCCACACTAAAATAAATTGATACATTTTCAGGCACTGAATGAATGGTGATTAATGAAGTCAGAAGAGAAAATAGATTATCATGGCTTGGAGAGAATGATACACCTAGATGTGACCAGAAGGTCTAGCCGGCACACTATATTCAGAGGAAAGGCACGGTCGACATATAATCAGACTACATCCAGTACCATAAGTATTGGTACTCTGCGCTGGCTGCTGAAGGTGGGGACAGAGCGCATATGGGAATTCCTCAAATGCTGTGATGTCTTTCTTGCCTCAGCTCAATTTAAGATAGATGACAACAAATGAATTTACTTTGCCAATCAGCGTATTATGAAGACACACGCCTCGGGACAAAAATTAGAATCGGAAATTCAGATGTTTGCTGTAAAAACTTAAAGTTCGCTCTACTTATTTACAATGATTCGAAAAGATCAAAGTAATTGACTGACATTAAGCATCCCGAGTATCTATGGACTACAGAATATCACTATTTTTGCGTCATTGATATTATAAGGCTGCATAAAAACAACACTGCGATCTAACAGACAGTTTTCGAGAAAATGGCTTGTGTGTTTATATTTTGTTAAACGAGATTATAATTTTACTTTGAATGTCCACGGCTGTTAGTGTTTTAGTTCCCACAATGCTGCACTGGTCTGGCTAAATGGACCGGGAACGGTTACAAGAGCCATCTCTGGCCGGTTTCCCCGTTCAGCCTGTATTACCGACATAACATCCCTTGGCTAGTCCTGTGGCCAGGCTGGACAATTGTAGACCAACCCAGTAAAAGAAAATATCCGACCCATAACTGCATGGGTAGCAGACTGCTTTGTGTTGATTTCATCAGTAATATGAGCGTCGTACCGCTAAGAAGCCACCGTGGTATAGCATCTAAACGCTCGCTAGCGGATCCCAAAGTCGTGGTTTCAAATCCGGACGCTGTTAGACATTTTTATTCTCCAAAATCCTTTCGCTCCCAGGATGAGCCAGCTTCTTTTGAGTACCAGGTAAAAGTCTCGGAAATTAAACGCGGCCGGTATGATGGTGACCATGCCAACCATATAATGCTTTGTCTACAGAATGTAGATCTAGCCCTGTACGCACAGAACGCACGAAGACATGAAAAGGGGGTTCTTTGCTTTTTAAAAGTTTCCATAAGTTGATAGGCTCCATTTGGGTAACACCTACAGTAGCTGTAACATGTGCCTTAATTATAACACCTTATGGGATTCATACGAGGTATGCGGGATTCGTAGTTTGCCATACAATATGTGACTCTCCGGTGTATATCTATTTTAAAACTGCATTTGCGAATAAAGCCAAACAATTTCTTAAGGCCTCGGAAATTGCTTTTACAGAAGAATTCTTAGCATTTCTTGAACAGCCAAAAAGATCAACCCACCTGTTCTGAAAGGGGCGAGGACTCTAAGAAAATTTGTAACAAATAGAAAGAGACATTTATTTGGGGGTGGAGGTGCGGGAAAAAAAAGGGGGGGGGGGGGGTGTCATATTATTTACAAAAAGGGAAACCAGAACATGTAAAGTAATTAGTGACTTTTTTTTTTTTCCACGATCTGCCGCTCAACTGGTATAAGATGCAAAACATATTTATATAGTCCAATCGGCAATCGGTGGGTCATATTGTTAACATCACGCCAGCCGCCTTTTTTCCCCAGGATGTTACCAGGTATCCGTTATAAATTGGATCTGCCTAGGAGCCAATGTCCATTTTAAATGAAAAAATGCCCGGCTCTCTGGCGTAGTTGGCTAAATCGGATTGCGCGGTGAGCGGGTGACGAACTCCTTGTGGTCCGGGCTCACTCCTGGGGGTAGGCAGAAAAGCCACATTTCTCCCAGATTTACGGTATTTACAATGGAATCAAGGCCGACAGGTTGCGATATCCATAATACTGAGCCTAAGGGTTAACAACTCATGGCTTCTGGATACTAAAACAAACTTCACAAAAATGAAAAAAATGAGTCTACACCGATTTGAACCCAAGTCGGTCGGTCCGCAGGCAGGTGTCTAACCACTAGGTTAATGCAGATCTGTGGCCATTAATTAATCATCATCACCATCATCATCATCAAACCTTGCCAGCTGTCGTAGGTGTTTTGCATCTTTACAGATCTCAGTTTATGGTATTCTGAATCATTCCATTTCTGCTATTCCTTTATGCCACTGTCTTAAGCCATCCACCGTAATTTCTTTTGGTCTGCCTCTGCCTCTTCTTCCAGTGATCTCTCCAGTCGTCATGACATTTTACAGTGCTCCCTTTCTCATCACATGACCGCCCAATAAACTTTGTCTTCTTCACATTGTTGAACATAATGTTCTACTTTTATTAGCCATTTCCATGCAGTCATTTTTAGTTATTCTGGCAATCCAAGGAATTCGCAACATTTTTCTCAAGAACCACATCTCAGTTGCCTCCAAACTCTTCTTAATTTGTTTGCTCACATTCCAAGATTCACTGCCATACAACAGAACAGGCTCGATATAACATTTCAGGATTCGTTTTCTGATGTTAAATGAGAGAGCTTTATTACATAAGATACTTTTCATCTTCTGAACTGCTGCCATTGCCTGGCCAAGTCTGCTCTTATTTTATGTCACACATCGTTTATCTGAGCTGTTAACTGCTGTACTGTTAAATAGACATCATCATCATCATCATCATCATCATCATCATCATCATCATCATCATCATCATCATCATCATCAATAAGCAATTCTTTTACAACATTTTTTCCCCCTATAGTCTATTCTCCAGCCCTATCTGCTTTCATAATCAACAGACATTACAAGCAAGTAATCTGTACTTAGATTATTCCAGACTGTGATTTAGACAAAAACTTCACTGAACTACCACCAAATACACAAGCGCTTGATTGTTTTCGTGTCGAATTGGACATTTCCGTGACATGGTTTTGGCCACTCAATCGAAACCTATCCGGAAACATGCCAGAAATCTGTGTTTTCTAATTACGTGTGCCATTGGAATTAATGTATTATGGAACAACGTATCTTATCGATATATTTCTGCAAGAATTGTCGCTATGTCCACATTCAAGGTCAGCAGACGGGATTTCCGACCACTTGGTACAACACTACCTTCTGTTCTGAGATCAAAACACAGTTCTAAGCCTACACAGTTTCGAATTCAACAGATCGCCGACGAGGGAAATGTCTCGAACGTTTATCCTGAACTGTTGAGAACTCCGATAAAAAGGATAATGACGAGATATAATCATAGCAAATTAGAGCAACAAAAAGTATATCAGAAATCTAACAAGACCAAATTAGAGCAACAAAAAATATATCAGAAGTCTAATAATAGCAAAATAGAAGAACAAAAAGTCTGTCGAAATGAGACATCTCCACAATGTCAGGAATTCAAGAGAAGACGGCGTTCTGAAATGTATGATGAAATATTGGAATACTATCGAATTCGAGAAAACGAAACAAAGGACAGTTTCGTTAATTTACACAGGTTGGTTGATAGTTTTCTACATTTTTAGATGCATTGATATAGTTATGTGATGTGATTATCTATGCAGATGGCTCTATGTCGAGAGGCAGACGAAGTTCACGGATGTTCTTAGCAAAAGCCAGTGTATGTCGCTTAGAGCAAGAAAGCCTGGCGTGTGACACTATAGCATCTAGTTTGAGAATGGAGGTGGAGGCAGTTACCGCAGCCTTCCGCTGGCTTTAGAATCAACTGTACACACATGACGTAATTTTAACCACCTCGCAGAGCATGTTTAGAAAGGTGGAGACCGAAATGCTCCGTAAAGAGTGGCAAGCATCGCTTTAGAGATCCCATGTAGTTAACCTCTTCTTAATATTTTCTGCAGAATATGCCGGTATATTAGGAAACAAATTGGCAGATAGACTGGCTGGCTCTGCACAACTTGATGGTGAATTGATGCATGACAAGCCAGATGGTGTGATGGCCCTTTAGGAGCCAGTAAACAGTGCAGAGGCCCAAACTGATCATTATAGTCTGAGGAGAATGGCGCTGCTTGAGTAACCAGGGAATCTAGTCATCACCCAAGGGCCAGGCAAGGCTTATAAACATTCAGATTGTTTTTGGCACCATCGATATTGGAACGTTGCGCTTGCTGCTGAAGTTGAGGACGAAGCGCTTATGGCAATGTCGTGAGTTTATGGTGTCGTTTCCCAATTAAACATTGAAGTTAGCGGAAGACATTTCTTAACTTTCTTTATTTGATATTGCATATATTCTGACAGCTTCTACAGCATGGGCTGTCCTCCAAACGACGGTCCCAAATTATCGAGACCGAAAATATACCCTAACGGGACCTCAGTCAAATGCAAATTGCGGACTCCCGGCAACCTAATTTGCGCGCTTCCGGCGACTATCGCCACCGCCGAGTGTATCTGCCACGCAGCTACGCGCGGCGTGGAGCGGGGCTAAACAAGATGGCTGTGACTCACGAGCAGCAGCTACTGCATCTCCTGCAGCTTCCATTATTTTATTTGCTCGTGAGTCTCAACCATATAGTTTAGCCCCGCTCCACGCCGCTCGTGGGAGATACTCTCGGCGGTAGTGGTAGTCGCCGGAAGTACACAATTACAAGAGACTGAGGCCCGCTTAGGGTATATTTTCGGCCGGATAATTTGGGACCGTCATTCAGAGGATAGCCACAACATGTTTTTTTCCAAACGGAGTTGTGTTACCTATTCTTTGGAGTGAACAAAGCAGGGGCAACACATGATCACTACAAAAATGCCCACATTTTGTGCTATGGAGTAGAACTCGGTCGGTTGTGCCTTCATATGGCACAATGGAGAACTTAATCGTCTGGAAAAACGGAGATGTACTAATAAAAATTGCGTAATTTATATTAGTTGTCTGCACAGATTATTCACTTGCTTCACCACTTAGGATATTCTTGTTAGCTTTCACCGGCTTCGAACTTCCGAGGGAATTTCTTGTTGTTCGTCCACTGCTGGACTTTAACCTTAAAAACAGAACTTGAGTTTTGCATGCAAAACTAGTGCAACGTTTTACGGCCAAAAATTAAACTTCCGGTTTAGTATATGTTCCACCGCGCTGATTTAGACAAGTCGAAAGGCTGAAGTAAATTTGCGATCGTCTTTCTGTGTGTTCCCTGTTGCTGAGTGTGTTGTGTGGAGCTACACTTCTTTAATCAGCTTGTTGCAGTCTATGTTTCGACAGCATGCCTTGAAATAAGTCCGAAATCCAACAGGACTGTCATAGAATGAATCCGCCATATTGCTACAGACTTGAAAATGAAAAGGATGGCAAAGTGGCAAATGAACTGGGCGAGGTTACCACAGCCTGACGGGAGCTGATGTTTTGTATCCGCCAGACTCTCGCCTTCGGATCGGAAAGTTCTGAGTTCAGGACCTGACGATGTCATACTTTTTTGTTTTTCTTTCGAAAATGACTTTGGCTCGCAGGTCGACACGGCATTAAGTGGCACCAGGTGTAGTCCGGGGAAGTAAAGGCAGCTCTAAATGCCCAATATACCCGAGGGCGTGAAAATTGAAATCCTTTACCTTAGCCTGGTATAAAGGTAACCTGTGATAAAGCTAAGAGGTTTATTAGAAGAACTTAAGGAATCTAAAGCGTGCAAAAAGACTGATTCCATCGCTTGTTTTATTGTCATGCCCCTGTAGCATATATCATTGCTGAGTACTTATAACATTTGGTAATTCTTATTTTTAATAAGATGTTTATCTCCCTTAACTAGGTAGTCCTTCGTCGTGAGTTCAGGTCATAGCTCTCTATGTCTGGCGGTTCGTTGCCACCTGCTTCATGTCTTAGATGTTTGTTAGGCCCATGTTTGAGCCTTCCCTGATGATGGTTCTACGCAAGTCTCTCGTAGTCTTCCTTTTTTTCTTTTCCCTTCCGGTGTCCATATAAGGGCTTTATTGGGAAGTCTTATCGTATTGATTTTAAGTGCATTTTATCTTTCTAGATGTCAGTAATTTGAGAAATCGATACTATGCGCGAAGTAATCAACAAGTGCATTGTGAGTGTCTTGTAACCTGAAAAGATAAGCCAAGAGTAAAGTTCAGGTCATATCGAACCACGATAGTTCACAACAAGAAACAGATGTGTATCAGATCTTACAGTGCAGATTAATCACGTCATGTTTATTGAAAACGTCAACACCATTACACCTTTTCTTCTTAGCAGTTTCGATTAACTCAGTGAGCTCCATGCTGTAACAAAGTCACAGATGTTGGGGGGAACAGCCGGAGGATAAGCGATATGTTTGGGGAAAACAGCTGGAAGGCAATCGAGATGTTGGGGGGGGGGGAGGGAGGGGGAGGGAGCTAGAAGGCAAGCGAGAAGTTATCGGAGTTGTCAACACCAGTCGGTGTATTTTTTAAAGTGAATGATATTTTCTGTCCTCTGTTACTTGGTCGATGAATGAAGATCACAGCTAATGAGAGTATGTCACAGCTGATGTGAGTGTGTCGCAGCTGATGAGAGTATGTCACAGCTGATGAGAGTATGTCACAGCTGATGAGAGTATGTCACAGCTGATGAGAGTGTGTCACAGCTGATGAGAGTATGTCACAGCTGATGAGAGTATGTCACAGCTGATGAGAATATGTCACAGCTGATGAGAGTATGTCACAGCTGATGAGAGTATGTCACAGCTGACAAGCGTGGATCACACCCGACAAGAGTTGGTCGTACCTGACAAGAATGGGTCATGTCTGACAAGAACTAGTCTACCTGATAAGAGTGCGCCAAACCTGACGGGAGTGGGTTACACTTGATGAGAGTGGGCTAAACGTGATGAGATTGTGATGGGAGTGGGTCACTGGGGATGATAGTGACTTACTCCTGATGAAAGTGGGTTACGGCTGATGAGAGTGGGTTACGTGATGAGAATGCTAGGCGTTTTATAATGGGGAAAAAGGTGCCGATTATAGTGTCGCTAAATAAACAGTGCGGGTATTGCGTACCGTTAAATACCGTCAGAAAATAAAAGCCACGGAGTGGGTCACACCTGATAAGAGTGGGTTATACACAGTGAGACTCGGCCACAACTGATGAGAATGGATGACACCTGATGACAGTGGGCCACATTTAATGAAAGTGAGTCACACCTGAATCCAAACTGCATATCGAGACATCCTTCCTCATACATTCCAGTTTGCCTTCCCAACCTTTGGCTAGTCTCAGTCTAGGGGAAAAACAGCAGGATTGGAGCTGTCTTTGTGTGGCCCCTGTCCCTTACCCTGTCGACATAGTAGCCAAGCCATAGTGGCTCATTTGGTCATTGCAAATCCCTGTAAGGGTGCCAGTGGTAGAGGATGGCAAAAAAAAAAAGACCCATTGCTTCTAAGAAAGCACATCGTATGTGAGTTATCAGTTGTATTATCTTCACAGCACTCCGGATAGATTCATTGTTCAGATCTCCCCCTCAACATATTCATCAGCGCTGCGCGGTTAATAGTGCCAGTCCTATGCTGGCTGACAAGACTTCGTGTGCGTCCGGTGTGCTTCTCATGCTTGGCTAGCCCGATCTTTACTGGTAATTCTCGTATTCTTAGCAGTGATGTAGTCACGTTGCATCCAAAATCCTCAGAACGTTCTGTCTCTCTAAGGGCATTGACAGTGTCTGCGTGATCCAAGGACCGGTCATCTTCTATTCATGCAGCACCTGCCAGTCTATCAGCTGTTTCATTACCAACAACACCGACATGCCCTGGGACAAATATGAAAGTAACTGCATACACAGGAGAATTTTGCAATGACTCAAACCACTGTCTGCGTAACCAGCCTGCCTCGACCCGCCGGATCATACTCAAAGAATCACTCAGCACACACACGGGAATAGTCCTGTGATTCTAGCCACATGAAAGCTTGTGTCACCGCCATCACCTCCATCGTCATGCTGCTGGTAGTCATGGAGAAGGCACCGCTGGATTCTTGAACTGTTCTACCTGAAGAGTGTATAAGGCAACTGATTTGGAAGAGTTTTCTTTAATCGAATGATCTGGGCTGAAAAGCGCAGATATCACAGCCTAGATGTTTTCCGCAATGTAACGTCCCATACATCCTTTTAAGGGTCAACTTTTTTGTCCCGACAGTTATTACTACAAGATGTTTTCAATGTCTAACTTTAGAATTATAATCTTCGAATTTTGTTTGAGTTAAATTAGTACAATTATGTGGCAGAACAATTTAGACCAATAATCAGGCACAATTAGTGAACATAACAAAAGACTAAACTAGAGGAAGGTACGAAACCTATGGAGTAAGCAAACAACGTTAGGCGAATTCCTTTACTGAAAGATTTAACGCAGAAATAAAGACAAGTCACTCCACCACACCAAGTGTATATATATTAGAAGACAAGCTTAAGTTCTACAAATCAAGCACTTATGGAAAGTCTAGCGCTGCATGAACAATTTCACTGCGCTACATTACGTCGATTTGAGGCACCTCAAATTGGGCTGTTTAATCGAATTGGTCCAAGTACTGCAGCGACAATCTATCTCTAGCGGTGGAAAAAAGATTGTTACATAACAAGAGTGTTTTGAGCCTTGATTGGCCCACCGTCCCATCTTCAATACAAATGTCGCTCAAAATCCCTGCTTGAAAATATAACAATAATTATGATCACGTTCCATGTCGATAAGCGCAGGCAGTCATTATTAGCCGGCCTACACGATAAGCAGGAGCCTCCGTGGTGTTAGGGCTAGGGTTAGGGTTAGCGTTAGTGTTGGGACTAGACGTTCGCTTGCGAATCGGTTAGGCGTGGGTTCGGGTCCTGACTGAGCCAGACTTTAAAAAAAAAAAAAGACATTTGACTCCCAGCCTCGAGTGAGAACCAGGAACACGTCCTGGGAAGTAACGGCTACCGGCAATATGCTGATCACATCACCCACAAAGGGCTGATTTGCCTATAAAATATGGCGTCCAATTCGATCGATGGCGTTGAAAGAGGTCCTTTACTTACTACACGATCAGCAGAATCTGGATCCATGATATTGTTCTTGTCCCGTCCCAAGCTGTGGCCAATCGGACAAAACTTTCATCTCATTGCGAATTACGAATCGACATTACAGCACTCGGGACACTCTCATAAGTGCTCAGCCTCCAATTTCAGCAGCAAGCGAAGAGTTTCAATTCGGATGGTACCAGTAACTGTCTAATTGTATATCCGTCTCATCCTTTCCCTGAGAGGAGCATCAGCCATATCCGCTGGTAACTCCTCGCAGCGCCATCCTCCTTAGACCGTAATGATCTATCTGCGCTTCTGCACTGTTCACTATCTCTCGCTTGATAGTTCTGAGACAGATGGGGTTGTGTAAGGTTTCCTTTAGCCTACTTAAGCTCATCTGACATTCTATTTCGAGTGATAACATAGAAATATTGTTTCTGTTAGTTAAGGGAAAAAAATAGGATGTTGATATAAAGTTTGTTAAATTTAATTTGAGACCTTTCGGTAAGATATGACCGGGCTACTGTATAACTGTAGACGCTACAACATGTTGTCTGTTAACGTTGAATGTTGGAAGAAATATAGCAAACATGAAGGCGCCCACTGCGCCGAAGACTAGGAGCAGAGGAGAGCACTGTCCGGGAGGCTTGTCTGATTTTTCCTTGGACGAGGACAGGAAAACTGAAAACAAGTGTTATAACATGGCAGAAGAGAGCCATTACGTTGGGTGCATCTAGTGTCCTCATAAGTGTGCAGGTTTCTTGTCACATCAGTCAGTCTTTCTCCCCAGAACGGCACCAACTCCAGAAAAGATCCACCCCCGTCCCCTCCCCCCCCCCACCCCGTACCCCAAGCAGTATCATAACCGACAGACTGAGATGCTTTTAAATCTACCCGGCACCCTTCAGAAGACGAGGCTAACGACTTCGCCAAAGACACAACCCCCCCCCCTCCCCCCACACTAAATTGATTCCTTGTTTCTTCTTCCAACAGATACGGCTATCACCTGGACTCAAACGCCTGCAGTCGGCGACCTGATGTGGTCATCCTTGTACACAGCAAGTTTGATCACTTTGGCAAGAGAAAACAGATTCGCAACACATACGCGGCGAACAGGTAAGGCAGAATACCAATTCGAACTTTAGAGCTACAATCTGCGGTAGAACTGTTTGTTTGTTTGCTTTTTCGGTTCCAGCAAATTTCGCAACACATTTCTAAACAGAACAGCATTCAAAGGAAACAGTTGCAGCGTGTCTGGACAATTAAAAAGAGCACTCAAACAGTGAGATCGCCCAATCAGTGATGTGTTATAAAGAGCTTCAGAAGATTAAGATGAGTTGAGATCACTTATAAAGGGCTACAAAAGACTTCGATAAGATGAAATAACGTATAAAGAGCACCATAACACTACGATGAGGTGAGATAACTTATAAAGAGCACCATAACAATACGAAGAGGTGAGATAACCTATAAAGAGCTACAAAAGACTACGATGAGATGGGATATTTTATAAAAGGCTAGAAAGGACTGCGATACGGTGAGAACATTTATAAAGAGCTACTAAAGGCTACGATGAGGTGAGATCTTTTATAAAAGGCTAGAAAGGGCTAAGATTATATCCAGATAACTTATAAATAGCTACAGAAGACTAAGATAAGTTAAGATAACTTATAAATAGCTACAGAAGACTAAGTGTCAAGGAATGACAAGCTATTACGCATCACCCCTAAAATAGTCGAGACCTGTATTACCTGTGCTCGACACAACTTTCAAACTTGGACTCGTCCGGGAAGGTATATAGTCCCCTATATCGATATATGCCTTTATCGGACATAATTATAATATCTACATCTTCTAGTTGCTTTGACTTAGCGTCATTTTCAAATTTGCAACTATTTGATAAATATTACTGGAGTTATTTGAGGTTTCTTAGAAACCGATTTACTCCTTGCTCATGTATACAAGGAACTTCTTCTTACCGACGCCCGAATTGAGAATTTTTGGCCATTCTTTCTGCCGGCTTTCCTGGAACTCAGACGTGTCCATCGACGCCAGTACATTTCATTTTAAGAAGGCGGTCTGTAGCGCCTAGGTCTTTTCCTATGCTTGGGTAAGTTAATTATAGTTTCATTTCATTCATTCAGTAGCATGTCCCTCGCGGAACCTCGCTGCCATAACAACCCTCCGGAAAACCTTCCTATCCTGAGCAAGATGTCCTGCGTCTGATACACCCATCTGGAGATCATCTGCTACATCCTGCACCCATCTTCTCCCTGGCCTTCCTCTTCCTCTCTTCCCAGGCATATACCCCTCCATTATTGTTCTCTCTAGACTTCCATGACGTTTCAAGTGACAAAAATATTTCAATTTTCTTTGTTTTATTGTCTTTACTAGCCAACCCTCTTCAATATTCAGCTCTTGAAGTATGGATGCATTTGTTCTTTTCTTTACCCAAGATATTCTTAGAACCTGTCTGTAACATTTATATTCAAATGCATTTATGCGCTGTTCCGCTTGTTTAGTAAGTGTTCAGGTCTCACAGGCGTATGTTGCAATGGGAAAGATGCATGCTCTTAAAAATCTGACCTTTGTAATTCTATCTGTACAATTCCATAATTTATTCAGTTGTTTTAGTCTTTAAAGAGCAATTGACAGTCGCCGTTTAATTTCTTTCATTGTGTCACCATTGTTGGTAACCAGTGACCCAAGATATTCGAAATTTTCCACCACTTCCAATCTTTCCTCATTAACATATATTTAATGTTTTCTTTCATGATTGTTATGGATTCTTGGCAAAATTTGCAGAAGGTAGTTTGCCGTTGCTTTCCTCCTGAGCAGTGACTATACTAGTCGATGGCCATAGCCATTGTCTCTACTGATGAGATCATCTGCCTATCGCCGCAGAGTGCAAACCATAACCAACAATACCTGTAGGCTGCTCTTACACTTATATCCACCACCTGCTTCCATGGCTTCACGTAACCCTGATTGGGGGGCTAAACGGGTACTCCACCTTGCCCAAGGGTGTCCCGTAGACTAGCGGAGGAAAGGAGGCGTCTTACTTCTCCTTTGATAGGGGATACCCCTACCCCGCTAACCGGAATTATAGTTTACGAGTACCTAAAATGATGTCTGTTAAAGTGGTCACTGCTGTAGAGAGATCAGAATCGGTTATGGGATCACACATAGTTCGACCGTTCTTGATCTCTAGAGAAGGGGATTCGAACTTAGACCTTCCTCTGTACAGACTAAACAGCCTATGCCCTAAATAACCCACACATACTGGCAAAAATAATGACCTTACAAGTGTGTACCATTTAAACTAACAACATAAGTTTGTGCATACGAATGGGGACAGAGAATTTAAGTCAGTACTTGGGCAGACATAGCGCGTGAGTGTGTTTGACCCAGATCAATGGATGTGTGGAAATGACTTGAGAGTCATAGGGAATAGGGGTACTGACGGTAAATATTGGTGTCTGTGTGCAGATGGGAGGGGGGAGAGAGATTGATATATGTGAGAGTGTATATCTATCTCCACTATATATATCTGACTTTCCATCTCTTGCACTAAACAGACAGATGAATGATAGGAGACATTGTCTCCTGGTCTTGAGAGTGCACTCTGAGGAATGAAACAGAGGAGCAGAGGTGGAGTAGGCTGATGTGGGATGGTGACTGATACTTATTCTGTCTTTCCTGTCAAGATGATACCCTCTTGGTGATGACTAATTCTGAGTTCTTTCCTGACAGGATGAAACCTTTGTGAAGAGCTGGCAGAAAAATCACAGTCCAACCAACACCCACCAACCATCAATCAACCAATTATCAACCAATTATCACCCAACTACCAATGGTGAAGACTGACATCATCAGTCTGGGGTGCCATATACCCCAAACAGTCTAACAGTGCCAGAGCTTGGTGTAGCTGAGGAACAGTATGGTGAACTGACTGGTGGGAGAGATTTGCTGTGTGCCTATCCAGTTGCTGTGTCCTCTATGGTGAGGTACTTCCCCACCATCTGATCCAGTTGAAGCAGAATTTCCAAAGACAGTCGAATCATCAGGAGCTGAGGGAAGCATCAACGATAGAAAGAGGATAAGTTACAGTTTAACCATATAACATGCTATATTCCCCACAGCTCCACTGGGGTCCTATGATGATGAGGTATCATCTCCAAGACTTTCTGGCTGTTTGGTTGTCTTTGTAATCTGGACATTGTATTCTGGAATCCATCTATTGAGATCTGGCATCTACTTCACTATTATATATATGTATATGTTGTATTGATTACATGTATTCATTTTCATGGCTGACTTAGGTGTCTCTATTTCATTTTTTTAAGTGTTTAGCATTTGTGTGTGTATGAATCATAAATATTATTTGTGTTAACATGGTTATGATAATGAATTATCATAACCTGGGGGCTTTCTTTAGTAAGTAGTGGGGGTGTCCAGCCAAGTGTGCCTAGGAATATTGTATTCATATACAGATATATTTTGTAGTGCCAATACTTGAGTTGCCCTACTCCAGAAATAAGTTGAGCGTGTATTGGCCGCGGGGAATCCCTTAGACCAATACGAGCCAAACGACATAATTATTTCTGAGTGCTGTTGGTTCTGAAGGAGAAATCCTTATATCAGGCACGTGACATGACACTAAGATAAGTTGAGATAACTTATAAATAGCTACAGAAGACTAAGATAAGTTAAGATAACTTATAAATAGCTACAGAAGACTAAGATAAGATAACTTATAAATAGCTACAGAAGACTAAGATAAGTTGAGATAACTTATAAATAGCTACAGAAGACTAAGATATGTTAAGATAACTTATAAATAGCTACAGAAGACAAAGATAAGTTTAGATAACTTGTAAAGAGCTACAGAAGACTGCGATGAGATGAGGTAACATATATTCAATTGTTTACCTTAAGTCGAGGAGAATGGACATTTTAAAAAAAGCAATTATTCAATAATAAAATTAAAAGAAAAAAAATCGACCAAACAAAAATGCATTCTTTAAATCTGTATTTTTCGGCTTACATTGCCTTCAATGCAATTTCATTAGACGTCTTATCTGTCCGTGGTGATCTCTGATCAGTCAAATGAAACTATGTCTCCGCAGCGTCTTGTCACTTCTCACTAATCAGCTTACTGTCCTTGACTGACATTTGTTTTGCTTCTAGAACAGTCCAGGGCATTAACTTCGCAACTGTCTTCTTTCTGGGAGAACCAAGTATCCAAGAAATGAAACCTGACATATGGAGAAGCAAGCGAACCAAGCAAGAAGAAACTGAAAGGCAGGAGGGGCTGCCTGGCAATCTGGATGAGATCAGGAAAGAAATTTACACGGAATCTGCAACCTTTGGGGACATTGTTATGGGGAATTTTACTGACAGTTACAGGTGAGACCATGTCCCAAATGTCTTTGAAATATTTTTTTAAAATTCTGTGCTTCTAAAAGTATGGCATAGAAACTTCTTAGATGGGGATTTGTTCAATAAAGCTAATGTCACGTACCTTTGTTAGGGTTTCCCCTAATGAACTAGAAGGCACTCTGAAGTAGTTTTAGTGTTGAGATAGTTAGTTAGTTAGTTAGTTAGTTAGTTAGTTAGTTAGTTAGTTAGTTGGGTTATCCTCATTGCACTCCGGACATGTCCATAGGTGCTCAGATCCTCCCCTCAGTATGAACCCCAACGTCCGATGGCTAATAGTACCAGTTCTATGTTGATTAACAAGTCTTCTGGCGTAGCTGGTGTGCGTCTCGTTTTTAGCTGTGCCGATCTTAATTCCCAAGTCTGCCATTCTGGCGAGTGATGTGGATTCACTGCCACCATTTCTTTGAGGGCATTGATAATATCAGCATGATCCATAGGCTGACCGTCGGTAGTGATAGCGGATCCAGCCAACCTGTCAGCTCTTTCATTTCCATCGACGCCTGCGTGTCCCGGAACAAAAATAAAGGTGACTCCACGAACAGTGGACTTCTGTAATGATTCAAGCCATTGTCTTCGCACTGAACCTGCATGAACCCTCCGGATCATACTCATTGAATCACTGAGTATACACACGCGGGTGTATTTTTGTGTTTCAAGCCAGGCAAGCGCTTGTGTCACTGCCATCACCTCCATCGTCATGCTGCTGGTTGTCATGGAGAAAGCGCCGTTGGCTTCTTTGACTGTTCTGCCCGCTGAGCGTGCTGTAAATGCCCATGCGCTTCTTCTTTGGCGTATAACGGATCCGTCTGTATAGATTATTGCATCTGCTTCGTCTGAATTTTCACCGATGAGAGCGTTGACCTCTGCATTAACAGCAACAGGATTCTCTTCTCTACATCGCCTGTTGAGTGTGACAATACAGGAAAATGTACAAATAAACGCCTGAGGCACAGGTATCCATTCTGCACCAGGTATGATGTCTGTTAGGCTGCATATTTGCCTAATGACATCTTCTGCCCGACCTAGCCACGATTTCCCCCTCTTCAGTCTGTCGCCCTTTTCACTAAAAAGCGCTTGATGCAGTGGGTGTTTCTTATCAGCGCATATTTTGAGATATGCCCGAGCCCTCCACATCCTGATCCTTTGGTTCATTGTTGGAAAGTCAAGTAGATACCTCATTGCTCCACAGGATGTGTCTCTAGTACATCCCAAAATAATGCGCATGGCTTCATTTTGCACCTTTTCGAGTCGTTCAATCTGGGTAGCACTGACAGTGAGGATGGCCAGAGCGTATTCTATGGGGGAAAGGACCAGACCGTAGAATAGAAGTATTAGTAGTCTTTGCTCAATATTGGAAGCAGCCATAATCCTCATTGCAGATAGACCTTTGCGTGCTTTTGTTATCACATGGTCAACGTGTTCCCTGAATGACAAGCTGCGATCGAACCTCACCCCGAGAAACGTCATAACGTTGGTTCTGATCAATGCATTATCAGGCATTTTCACTTCTGGTAAGTCCGACTTGACAATGTGATTGTTCAAAGAGAACCATGACACTGATGCCTTCGAAGGATTGACATAGGCATTGGAACCATCACACCAGGCGGCAATTCAATCGAGTTCTTTGTGCATAGTGCTGGCGATCTCCTGTCTATCACGTCCTCGTCGATAAATCAAAATGTCATCAGCAAATGACAAAGTCCTTCCCTTTCCATTCAACTGCTGCTCAGTGATCATCACCGTGTAAACGTTGAATAAGACTGGTGATAGCGGTGATCCCTGTGGCAAGCCTGGACATATCATTTGCGGTTCGGAGGACCAGCTACCACATCTTAGTACAATCTTTCTCTGGAACAGGACCGCAGCAATCCAGCGGATCAGAATAGGATTAACTTCTAGTTTAAGCAGTAATTGCATTAAATAATCGTATGGTACTTTATTGTAGGCATCTTCTAAGTCCAACACTGCCGCACATGTCTCTTCTTTAATCTGAAATCCCACGTAAACATCGTAGGCGAAAACTGCAGCATTGAACCATGTCTCTTTATTTAACCTGTACCCTCCAAGTGTTGGTGGGAACTTATCATGTAGTTCCAAGTAGGTGGTCAATCTTTGTGCGACAATTTTTTCCAAAAGTTTGCCAACAGTATTCTGCATCGAGATGATTCTGTAGCCGCAGATCTTTGAGTGGTCTTTATTAGGCTTTGGTAGTGGGAACAAATAACTATGGAGCCATTCCTCTTGTATCTGGCCACTCTGGATGCTGATATTGAATTCCTTTGCCACGCTTTTCAAATCAGCATTCGACATCATCAGCATGTCGTTGTATCGGATGCCGTCAGGGCCTGGAGCAGTGCTGCGCGATTTCTTGAGGCAAGTTCTTAAGGTGTCTGCAGTGATTGTGAGATCAGTGCCTAACAAAGTGTTCTCGCACAGCATCGACAGTTTCATCTTAACCCCTATTCTTGTAGCTTCGTCTTTTTGGTCAGTTTGCTCCAAGTAGCGCGCCAGAAGGGTTTTTCCTTTATCAGCATCAGTTCTCTGCCATATCAGGTCTGTACCCTGAAAATCAGGGATACTCCTAGGTCGTGCGGCGCCGTGCATGCTCCGTTGAAGGCGCCAGAATGTCACAAGAGATCCCTCGGAGCAAACGCTCTTGCAGAATTCGTTCCATTTCGCTGTCTTAGCTTTCTTCGCAATTACCTTGAAAGCCACTGTCTGCTTGTTGACCTCATCTTTCAGACTGATCAGGCGTTCAGAAAGTGACGGATCAATTTTCCTTGCCTTTTGCCATGCCTTGACAGCTTTCCTTTTTTCTAGCCACGCCATGTTGACTACTTCATTCCACCATGGTGGCTGGGCCCATCTCTCCCGCCGTCTGCGATCTACTCTTGTTTTACGTCGTCGGATTTTGCTAATGGCATCTTGCCCTGTACGGTCATATATAAAAGCAGGCACATTGATTACATGACCTTTGTTGTTGCTCTTCTCTACCAGGACGACGCAAGGAAAGTGATCACTGTCGTGGTATCCCAGTGTGCTCCACCTGCATCCTGATGCAATGGAGGGAGACACTAGGGCCAGGTCAATTACGCTGTCAGAATCCCCTTGTTGAGATATTGGCTCGCAATGATCTAGGCGGAATACCGCAGCTGCAATTAACATCAAACCTGTCTTGCGGGAGAGGCGACTCAAATTGTGGCATTACATAATGCATAAACATTCCTAAGCGCAACTTGACCTGACTTCCTCACTACTTTTGGAACCGCCTTTTTTTTTAAATATTCAGAAACCATAAGTTCTTAACCCTTTGGCTGGGTACTATGGATATCGCAACCCTTCGGCCTTGATTCCATGATAGGTACCGTAAATCTGGGAGAAATGTGGCTTTTATGCTTACCCCCGGGAGTGAACCCGGACCACAAGGAGTCGTCACCCGGTCACCGCGATGTCAGGTTTAACCAACTACGCTAAAGAGCCGGGCATTTAAAACCCTTAGACTAAATAGTAATCCTTTGATAGGGAAATTAACACAGTATAACATGATGTATAACCTTACAACAGATACGCAGAACACTTAAAAACTTTGAGGGATGGAGAAGGTAAAATAACAAAACATCCTCTAATCAGTGCAACACATTAAGGAATAACAGGAAGAGAATTCAGCAAGATCAATTAAACCAACTAAGGAAGCAAAGAATGTACTTGTCCAGCTAGGCGCCTGGTTTGTCTCTAATAACAGCCAATATAATCACCGCCAAACTGTGGACTATTGGACCCAAGGAACTGGCACACTGCATTAGGTTTGACTGCAGGTTCCGGCATACCCCACTTATTTTTCCAGGATGTCTTGTTCATTTGAATGGAGGCATCCTCCCACATCTTGTAGAGCAGGTATGAGGTCTGGTGAATTCTCTCTTGAAGATCATGTCCCAACAATCATAATAATTCATTGGACTGAATGTCTTCCCAACTACCCACTAATAAAGTCAGCTGTTCATGATTTTTCCGTGTTAATCTAAAATATATTACAGTCTAAACTGTATGCCACCCTCTGTTCGTGGCAGTTGTAGTGACCACATAAAAAAAAAAAAAGCCTTGATTGTCGAAGATACCTCACAGGACCACAGACAGTTGTCGACTATGGAATCACTGACATGGTACATGGGCAGCATTAAATGTGCTCAAAGCATATTATAAAATTGATACATATATGTATTTATAAAATTTCCAAGCTGTCTGGAACACATTGGAGTAGTATGAGGAGAGAATTTTCGTCGGATTGTAAGGGAACGCTTAGGTTACCCGCCCTCCTTGAGTTTTAATAGTCTGACAGCTAAGTTCCATTGCTTCATATAGCTGCTTCTGTCCTACACTCAGCAGCAGAGCTGAATGCTTAGTACTTATAAAATATATTGTACTTACCCAAGCTCATGGACGTTCTCGGATGAATCGGTGATTCAAATGGATGTAAGCAGATATACAGAAAAGGAAGCAGACGTCTGTTCACTCTCAGGAAGCTCAGTCAAGAATGAGTTCAAACTAAGCATCTCTTCCGATTGAGGCGGGAGGGGATTCATCCAAAGCGGTAGTTGGGCCTTTGGAATTTAGCTTCACTGTCAATTAATCTCCCATCTATTAGGCTGAATTTAAATATATGTAAATTCTAAAAGAATTAGGATATAATTGAGCACTTAAACCGACTTTTTACCTACAGAGGACAGTCCGAGATTTCAAAGTGCCTTTTTTGCATAGAGGTGACACAATATGGTAAGGTCCATGGCTAGAGGAATGTGGGCTGCCATGCGACAGGGTTTCTTTTATCTCGCTCTTCTTTTTCTGTTTCTTCTTCTTCTTCTTCTTCTTCTTCCTCTTCTTCTTCTTCTCCTTCTTCTTCCTCTTCTGCTACTACTAGGTAACCAGCCAGCAAGGCCATCAACAAACCAAACATCTAACCACAACATACAAAACAAGAATACAAAATTAAAATAACATAAACACAGAGATTGAGAGAGAGACAGATAGATAAAGAGAGAGAGAGAGAGAGAGAGAGAGAGAGAGAGAGAGAGAGAGAGAGCGAGAGAGGGGGGTAATGAGAGAGAGTGAGAGAGAAAAAACCACCCCGTGAGCAAATCAACAAACTAAACAACCATCTAGCAAACCAATAACCAAGCAATCAAGAAATCAACAAACTAACGAAACTACCAACAGCAACCATCCGTGTCCTAATCGAGAACCAATCAACCTAGCTACCAACTAACCTTAACTAGCATTGACTGAATACGCCTATGATACATTATTTCCATTTCAGAAATCTGACGATCAAACACATTATGGCCCTCAACTGGGCCCTGTCCCACTGCCCACATGTGGTGTACATCGCCAAGGCGGACGACGATGTTATAGTTAACCCGTTTAGTCTAGCCAAGTACCTCACGGGCACACACTGCAATCGTTCGGGCCTTCTCACGTGCATTGTGCCTAAAGTAAGTACTTGGCTCGGATGAGGAAGTGCATAATCTGCCCAGTATTAAACAGAAACAATGAAAACATATCGCCTGAACGGATGACTGTTAAGGGTAGTGTGCTCTACAGGTGTCTTGGGTCTGAAGATATCACGACCTATGGCAAGTACAGTCGATGTGTCAGAGTATATAGTATATAATGGATCAAACATGTCAGAGTATATAGTATTTAATGGGATCAGTTGTGACAGAGTATACAGTATTTAATGGGATCAGATGTGACAGAGTATATGGTATTTAACGGGGTGAGATATGTCAAAGTGTATGGTATATAATGGGATCAGATGTGACAGAGTATATGGTATTTAACGGGGTGAGATATGTCAAAGTGTAGGGTATATAATAGGATCATATGTGACAGAGTATATGGTATTTAATGAGGTGAGATATGTCAAAGTGTATGATATAATGGGTCCTATGTGTCAGACTATATAGTATATATTGGGTCTAATGTGTTAGAGTATATAGTATATAATGGGTCCTATGTGTCAGAGTATATAGTATATAATGGGTCAAATGTATCAGAGTATATAGTATTTAATGGGGTCAGATGTGTATATAGTATATAATGGATCAAATGTGTCAGAGTATATAGTATTTAATGGGGTCAGATGTGTATATAGTATATAATGGGTCAAATGTGTCAGAGTATATAGTATTTAATGGGGTCAGATGTGTATATAGTATATATTGGGTCAAATGTGTCAGAGTATATAGTATTTAATGGGGTCAGATGTGTATATAGTATATAATGGGTCAAATGTGTCAGAGTATATAGTATTTAATGGGGTCAGATGTGTATATAGTATATATTGGGTCAAATGTGTCAGAGTATATAGTATTTAATGGGGTCAGATGTGTATATAGTATATAATGGGTCAAATGTGTCAGAGTATATAGTATTTAATGGGGTCAGATGTGTATATAGTATATATTGGGTCAAATGTGTCAGAGTATATAATATTTAATGGGATCAGATGTTACAGAGTGTAAGGTATTAAATCGGGTCAGAGTGTAAGGTATTTAATTGGATCAGGTATGTCAGAGTATATGCTATAGAATGGGTCTTGTGAGTCGTAATATATGGTATTAAATGGGATCAGATGTGTCGCAGTATATAGTATTTAATGAGGTGCTATATTTCAGAGTGTATGGTATATATATATGGGATAAAATTATAACGAATTAAGATGGATTACATCCACATTAAATGGGAGAAAACTGTCAAAAAGAAATTAACACGAACGTATACATGGGCGCTTGAATAGCTAGTTTGCCTTATTGACTAGAGCTCGTGTGCTAAACACAGCTATGAAAATGACAGCCCAAGTGGGGCGAAAATTAAGACTATGGCTAAAGTTCCTCTTCTCTTTAGCACACAAAAAGCTGGGTAGTAATGTAGAGACAATCAAATGCCCATGCAGGCTGATTCAATTCTCGGCCTGCTTTGTGGTCCAAAGGAAAGGTAACCCCATTACGTTTGGACAGGGCATGCCGAACAAGCTTCCGGGTCAGAAGGGCATTGAACTGTCTCTGTGCCTTTCAGAACTTCCACCTTACGTTAGATGCCAGCCTAGGCTAAGGACCTGAAGTATGAATGTGTGAGAGGATGGGTGGATGAATTATTTAAGGAATGGATGCAAGAATGCAAGCTTAGGCAAATGAAGGGACAGACTTCTGAACAAATAAACAGACAGATAGCACACAGCAATAATTATGTCGATTACGATAAACATTTTAACTGTACTGATATAAAACACATTGATCAGGAAACAGAAGCACAAACAACACATTCTTTACACATGTATAAAGAGTTCCCTCTGAAATTATTTTTGTTTCTCTCTTCTTCTTTAGCTACGGGCACCCATGCGATCCAAGCGCATGAAGTGGTTTCTTAGCAAGACTGAGTACCCCTTCACTCTATACCCAGTATGGTGTTTAGGCCTGGGAGAGTTGATGACGCGGGATGTGGCTGAAACGCTTCTCAAGATGTCCCGTGATGTGAGAACCTTCTGGATCGATGACGTGTATGTGACAGGTTTCCTCAGGCACAAAGCTGGACTTTCACTAATTGACATGACCAGGATCACAGGCAAAGATCCAACCTTCTTTACTCTTCCTGATTATCTCAGAAACCAAACTTTCCTGGCAAAGTGGAAACAAATGATAACAAAATAATAGACGTGTATAAGCTTAGGCATTTGTCTACCTGGATGATTGATTGATTGGCACCTTTCCAGACAAGAGTGTTATAATGCGCAATGAGGAAGCATGAGACTCACAGCCCATGGAGATGGCGAGTATGACTAGCAAGACCAGCCCGAGTCACGAAAAGTCTTTCACAATGATAGCATGGGATTTCAGGATCATTGTTGTCAACATTTGTGTTAACTCCGTTTCTTCTCAGACGCTCAGCTGTCATCTTGTTTGCAATCATTTCTTCCTTCAATCGCATTCCCTTCCTGATATGCCCTTTCCGCAAAATACGGTCCATGGCATTTTGTTCCCATGAGTTCACCTCAATACCTGTATCATTCATGTCCCACTTGCACACATCGTAGTAGAGGTCGGCCTCGACATCCTCTACCCATCTTTAATTCAACACAATGTCCTTAGGGACTCTGCCATCCTCCATTCTCCAGGTGTGACCCAGCCACCTGAGCCTTTGTAGACTGTGCACTGAAAAGTCAGTTGTAATACCTCAGTGTTTATGATTTTATCGTGCCACTTAATGCCAGGAATTTTTTTTTAGGCATCGCATGTGAAAGCTATTTAACAGTTTCTCTAGGTGCGAATAAGCTGACCAAATTTCACTGCCATAAAGCTGAGTGCTGATAACACAAGCCTGATAGACAAGAGTTTTTTTTTTTTTGTGTTTTAATTGTGAGCTTACTATTCTCCCAAACTCTTTTTGTCAGTCTACTCATTGTTGTAGCTGCCTTACATATTCTGATGTTGATTTCTTGGTCCATCGATAGTTTGTTTTTCGCTGTGGAACCCGGATGGTAAAATGGTCTACTGTCTCTAGCTCTTCTCCGTCAATGTTGACTGTAGGTCTGTCGTTAACACCTTGCACCATAACCTTTTTCTTATTTTTTGCGGACTGTTTGTCCAAATTCACAGCATGCATCAGCAAAGGCAGATAGTAAACATTGCAGCTCCTCCTGTGAGTGGGTAGTAATTGCTGCATCATCTGCAAACAGCAGCTCTCTAAAATGTATGTTTCTTATCCGGGAGCATTTTGAAGGCTGCAATCAGATCGAGAATGGAGGATTTTACCACCCTTCTGACCTCGAAAGGCATGTTCCAACCACCCTTCTGACCTCGAAAGGCATGTTCCAACCACCCTTCTGACCTCGAAAGGCATGTTCCAAAAGAAGTGAGAAGTGTATTCCAAAGAGGGTAGTAGCAAGTACACACCCGTGCTTCACTTCATTTTTTATTACAAACTCCTTCGATATTAACAACCTCAAAGTTGATTTTACTTTTCATACTAGTGTGAAACGACTCAATAACACTCAGTAGAGTAGGTGGACACCCAATCTTCTTCAGTGTGTTGAAAAGACTTTTTCGACTAACCAAATCAAATGCTTTGGTAAGATCAATAAAAGCAACCTACAGTTGTTGATTTTATTAGCTGCATTTTTCCTGCAACTGTCGTAATGAAAATATCATATCAATAGTAGACCGGTTCCCACGAAAGCCACACTGGGACTCTGGGTAAACCTTGTCTCCTAGGATCTGGAGTCTTCGCACAACAATTCTGGCAAGTAATTTTCCAGCAGTACATGGCAGCGATATTCCCCTGTAGTTATTGCAGTCACTCCGATCACCCTTGTTCTTGTACATAGTTATGATGCTTGCGTCTTTAAAGTCTTGCGGAATCGATCTCTCTTGCCACCAGAGTGTTATTAGCTGATGAATATGTGGAGTTAGAATGTCTTTCCAGCTCCTGATTATCTCAATAGGAATTACATCTCTGCCTGGGGCTTTACCTGAAGCCAGTTCATCAATAGCATTCTTTAACTGTTGGAAATGTGTCCAGATAGTCAAAAGTTGGTATAGTCTTCATGGCATTAGGAGTACCATCTGCTAGTTTATTATCAACTGAGTATAGCTCCAGATAATGTTCCACCAATCTATCTAGATGCTTCTTATTGTCATTAATAATCTCCCAATTCAAACTCTATAGTGGTGCACTTTTTTAATAGTAGGACCGACAGCCTTCTTTATACTTCTCTAAAGTAACCACTACTGCTAGCATTTTGAATGCTTTCACATAAAGCAGGCTGCAGAAGCTGCCGGATCAGGCGAGCAATGCTCTATCAATCCGCCTGTCGGAGCTTCCCTCCTAGACCAGCTGCCTGCCAAGTTTAAGGGTCTGGTATGCCCTGCCATAACATAAACGTTTTCAGATTGAATGTCCTCTTCCTAAGTATAGTATCCTCCCCAATGGGCTCCTCCGCCTGAAGCCGTTGGGATAATATGGGATGTCAGGTTTGGTATACTCCGCCAACCTTTCGGCGTAACCGAAAACAGGTTGTACCGGCTACTGTTATACGGTAGCTCAGTCATGTCTAACCAAGACCTGATACAATTAGCTAGATTTTTAGATCAATGAAATTGCATGATAAATTAATTAGCTGTATTATTAAGCATATAAGACTCAAGAAAAAACAAACTAAAATGAAAACAGCAGAAGCCTGGCTTCTGAGGCAAGCAGAAGAGAACAAATCAGGAATTAAGCCATAAGAGAACAAAACGTTGGTACAGACCCAGTTCTAATGTATTTACGAAGACAGCAGACCAAGTGCTTCAACGCCTATAGAGAATGCTTTGTGACGGCACACCATATAATGCATACACTAAAAAGAGGGGAATAACAGAATAACTAGGTAAACTAAGAACAAGATGGAAAGATATCTCTGAAACTCTACATCAGTACAATGTGTTTATGACTATGGTCGAGGCTGCCAGAAGAGCAAGATATAGAACTTTACATTTCCCACGACACAAGAAGCGGTAAAAGAGGAAGTGAAAAAAAATGAAGAAAAATGAAGCAAATCTAGCTTGTATAAATATATAGAGGCTGTGGAGCAGGGCTCTATCAGTCTGTCGGAGCTCCCCTCACCGACCAGCTGCCAACCGGGGCTAGGTCTTTGATGTCTAAATGGGTATGGGCGGATACGATAAATGGGTGAATGAATGAAGTAATGCATTGATGCAATTATTCTTGCATACAAGCATGCGCGGGCGAAACCACGAATGGACTAAAACAGTTAACAATGTAACTATAGTGATTACTGCAGTAACATATTGGTCAATTAAGATAAAAAATGGCAGCCGAAATAGCTCATTGTGGAGAGCGTTAGTATGAAGAACGAGAGGTCCTTAGTTCAAGCCCGGGTTTTTTAATCCGGCAGCCACTTAATTTTTTTTAAAGGGTCTGTGGCGAAGTGGTCAAACAGTTTGCCATGCGTTCTGGAGCTCGCTGGCTGATTTTACGGCAGCGTCTTTCGGTTCACGAGTGCAGTTTTTGGGGAGAATCCTGGGGGTCGTCGCCGAAGCTATGGAGGTCCTGTTCTGTGCAATGCTCTCGGCCGGCGCCCAAGACAGACCGAGCTATAACCTGGTGCAACGAAGCCGTTCCTCTTGATGTTTGACTTGAACATTATTGGCTAAGAAACAGAAGCACAAGCAACAAATTCTCCAGATGTAAATGAAGACTCTACGAACTCCTTCTTGCCCATTTCTCCACCCCCCCCCCCCCCCCCCCAGCCTCTGATACCATTGCAATCCAAGGATTTCAAGTGGTTTTTGAGCGAGACTTGAGTACCATTCCATGTATTCCCTGCTTGATGGTATGATCTGGGCGGGCTGATGGCGAGGGTTGTTGCGGCAAAACTGCTCAAGATATCTCGTGATATTCGGATTTCCGGGATTGATGACGTCTACATCACAGGTTTCCTCAGGCACAAAGCCGGACTCCAGCTTACTGAGATGTTTGCTATAACAGGCACAACAGCAATTTTCTTTTTATTCCGAATTATTCATGAAACGAAACTTTCATGTTAGGTAGAAAGAAACGGTGAAACAATAGAAGCGTTTTTACTTAGATGTTTATGTATGTCATTGTTGGCTAGCTTGTGAGGCCAGTGAAGTTGCAGGAGAAATAAATTAGCAGGTATGAAAAAACGCAAACAAGACTAAAGTTATCAAATCGAATCGAACATATATAAATCTACCAATATACTGTTACATTAAAAACCAGGACACATAAATGAATTTGAATATACGGCGCGCCTCTTAAGTAGCTTGTGGTGAAGATCAGAAATCATGTCAAGTAGTGCCCCAACAATACCAGGCGTCGCTAAATAGAAAATATTAGTGTGGTCCAAATTATTCTGATTTACAGTAAAATATATGTCTATAACACTAGCTAAGACCAGAGGTTTTATATGGCTCTGAAACTTGGAGCACAACTAAAAGAGATGCAGCCTTATTAACGGTTTTCGAAAACAGTCTTACGAAGAATCTTTGGACCCATCAAAGATGCAAACAGCGGGGAATGGAGAGTGAGAAGCAATAACGGAATTCATAATCTGTTTAAACCCCTGTTGATCACTGGCATCATAAGAGCTATTATACTGAAATGGTAGGGGCATATTAAGAGAACGTCAGATGACAGAGAAGTGAAAACTGTATACACAAGGGAGATGAATGGCCGTAGACCACAAGGCAGACCAAGAAGACGATAGAGAGATAATGTCCAGACAGACCTGCAAACACTTGATGTCACCAAATGAAAAGAGAATACCAACCGGAGATGAATGGAGGCGGGTGATATCTACAGCAATGAACTTCAAGTGCTCGGAATGCTGAAGAAGAAGATAACACTAGCTATAAGTACGTTTGCATATTCAAGTACGTTAACATCAGAACTAGAAAGGAAAATACACGCATTGTACATGGGATCTTTGCGAAAGATTCTAGGTGTATTTTTTAAAGACCAAACTACAAATGACAACCTATCATCACTTAGTACGGTGACAAGTAGGAAGCCATTGTAACATCAGTGGAAGATGGGAAGATCCCTTGGAGAGAATGCCTGGCGACTCTATGCCAGATAAGGCATTCACAAAAGAGAGGGACGTAAAACACACAGTAGACCAAGAACA